TGCTTAATTTTTATTAAGCACCCACCTTATTTATCTAAAAGTGAACACTTGTTACAGTGCAGTTTCTGCTGTTACTGGAGATATTTTAGCGGACTATAGTCACTAGTTTTACCAGCATGGATGAATTGAATACTTAATTTACCTTTCTAAAAAACTGTCGAATATCCATCCTGTCGACTCAACCTGACTTTCGGCAATGAACTGTCAGTTGTTGCGTTAGCATTTGATGTGGCGATGGTGACAGACACGTCAAATGCTCACGCAACACCTGTTGCGTTCAGGAAACCTGGGAGATTTAACATTACAATAATGGCAGGTTATCGAAATATAATTTAAAATGGCCACATTACATTGAATTTGATGCAATATATTAGCAAAAGTACAGGAAAAATAAATAATACTTTTTTTTAAATAATGCAATGAAATTATTTAGGGGGGCTAAAGACATTTTTCGGGAGGCTGAAGCCTCCCTAAAATAGGCCTAATGACGCCCATGCAATGCATCCTGAAACAATGGTGAATTAAGTCGGTTTATGTTTGTTCGCTCAAAGCTCCACTAGATGTCACAATGGTGCTTTGCGTTGATTCAATACGTCACCACGGGTGGCGTCACTCCTCCAAAGGAATATGTTTTACGATTGTGTAAGTATTCTTTGAGGGTGGGAAAAAATAACGATTTGTTCTGTTTCCATCACTTTCAAAAAGAACGATGCGCTCTCTCTTCAAAATCCTTTGTCTAGCCTTCGGCAGATTATTTTAAGATCTACCTGAATAAAAAAAAAATGCTTGCTTTTGTTTCCACATCTATTTTAAGCCTGACGTTTGACCACAGAAATCTGCATCGCTAATAAAGATGAAAGCAGGAATTATGATTGATCTATTTCCGATTATTCTCCCATCCATTCATATGTAAATGTTTTTGTTTCACAGACTTGTCTCATGCAAAATACATTAACAGCTTTTGAAGAGCTGTCCACTGGAGTGACGGCCATGCACGTTGTGCAGTGCATTTAACAGTACAGTACAATACAGTACTGGAATATGTTAAATTTGTGAACACATTAGTCATGAGTCAGAGTTTGCAATTTAGACCCCGACCCTGCCCTCCACGCACACACGCACGCACGCACGCACGCACGCACACACACTACCTTCAAAGAACACCTTTTGTCAGTATGACATGAGAGCAGACAGTGTCATGACTGTGGAAAAAAAAAAAACATCTGCCGTCTCTAGTCCCACCTAGTAGCCCTAATTTGATTTGCAAGAAACCACCATGCCCAAAGAAAAACAACCAGACAGAAGCTAAGGCATGACCGATTCGGTGTCTATCACTTTCAACAGCTGATTTTTGTTTCCAGGATTATTTTACTCATATCTGTCTGTGTTTGTTTTTGTTTCAGCGCCGGTTGGATGGAAGAGTGTTTTCCCTCCAGCCGGCGCACCTGTTCTTTATTGTCATCACGCCTTGTATTTAAAGACTCCAACTGCTGACACCCTCTGTTGGATTATTGACCTTGCTTGCTGTTTATGCTCAAGGGTGGTTTTCTAGACCTCTCAAGTTCGTTCATAGCCATTTTGGCTCCCTTACTTCCTTGTTTGTAAGCATTGGTATTATTTAGTCATTTTGATCTGGCTCTTGTTTTTTGTGTAAACTGGACTCTTGTCATTTTGTTTGTATACTTGGTGATACTATTAATTTGCCTTTTGCAAGCGCCTTTTGTTGATGCCTGTTTTTTTTTTTTCCTTGAGTCTATGTGACCAGTAAATAAACATTTTTGTTCTTCACATTTTGTCTGTGTCTGCATTTTTGGGATCCAAAACATTGTATGGTTCATTCTCGAACCTGACACTATGGACAGTTTTAACTAATGAGTGATATATATATATATATATATGGGGGTGTGGCTTGTAAACTCCTCCTTCAGGCAACATTAAGACATTCACTGCGCTGGAGCTTTTTCAACTGCAATCCAGCCATTTCAAACACATTTGTCAACAGTTAGGAGTGGAGTTTTTTCATCTGTGCTGTATGTTGCACATAGAGCACATTTGACAATAAAAGTTGACTTGAACTTGAAGTCTTGTCCAGTTTGTCTGAGAAATTCAGGTTGTTAAAACACTGTAATGACGAACAGATCCCTGTAGATGGCGGTGTTGTATCACTTTGAGATCAGCACAGCTTTTGAGTAAAGGATTATGGGGTTATTCTCAATTTGTCATGTCAATTATGAAGGAGAAAACATGTTCGGAATCGAACAAGTTTAGAAGCCCCACCCTTGAACAGAGCATGTATACACAGTACATTACATGAAATATATGTGCTGAGTATGTGTCACGGTAGGTGATTGAAAGTATGTGTCGTGATCGTGACACAAGGTGACGCCATTCATGGACTGTATGGCAAACAGCATGTAAAAAAAAACAAAAAAAAAACAAATGTTCTACTCGAGGACTGAAGCAAACCAGTGTCGCTTAATGCACTTTTCATACGTGTGTCTGTAAATAAATGATTTTGCCACAAGGTCTTTTTTTCACAAAAACAAGAAATACTGCTGTCTATCATTTTTTTATTTATATTTTTGGGTCATTTTTAGCAAAATACGTGTTTTCTCTGCCTTTTGCTCAGAAACTTCTGTTTTTGGTTAAACTAACCCATGTTCTACTGCTGATTAAAGGTGAACGGAAAATTCTAGAAACTTCAATTTCGTGGTGAAAGAAGAGAGTCTTTTTATTTTTCAATATCCTGTTGGTCTAAAAGGATCGGTCAAAATCAGATGTGTCAATTCAATAAAGGATGGCTTGAGCCACAGCTGCTTCTCCTCATAGGGCAGGTAAACGCACTCTGGGAAGCTGGTTTGAGTAGCTGCACCTGTCATTAAAGCAAAACTGTGGCAAGGTCTTTTACTTTCTGGACCTGGATCTGACACCTCTGGTCAAAAGGCTCTAAAAGCGAAAGCAAAAGGGGGAGTGTGCTTTGAAAAAAAAGTGAATGAGAAAAGAACTTTTCATAGAGTTCATAAAATCTTCTATCATCTATTGTCTTGTTAACACCTGTGAACCTTTCAAACAAGTGCAGACGAGGGAACATGTTAACAATGCCTTGTAAAATGTGTCTTTCATAATTGAAAGTTAAAAAGGGTTCAAAAAAAAAAAGACTGAAACTCTTTCCCCCAATATACCATTTGAACAACCATGTTTTCCATTTTACGTTTTCCCTGATAAAAATCTGCCGGTTGAGTGACCAATGAAAAGAAAACATATTGTACATAATTAGTCGCGTTTCAGTTGACGTGTCTCTGGGGTGAACTCACTCACAGGCGAAACCATCCTCTGTGCTTTCAGTCATCACAGTACAGGGACAATAATTATAGCTACGACCATCCGTTTCCCATGACGCTGAGCTTGAATGAGGGAGGACTGGATGTTGAAGTTGGTGGCTGTGCAGCGCAGTCCATCACAAGTGGTGCAAGTGGGCATACGCTGGCAAAATAGACAGTGAGTGGCAGAGAGCGAGGACCAAGCCGACAACTCCGTGTCTTGCCTGAGCACTGTCACCACATCACACTGAGCGCTGCCACTGCAAGTAAGGGTAAGGTGCACATTTTTACTCTGTTACCTACAAATTTTACTTTATTTAATCAGTTTTCATTGATTTTGCAAAGTCAATGTAGATTTGAAGACTGTTCTTCGTTTCAGTTTACAGTATGTTATAATTTTACATTTTATTGAATGACTGCAAATTAACATTCCACTCTATTGAATACTTTTGCTTAGTAATTAGGCTACTCTGAAATGTCTTATAGTCTAATTTGACTCCAATCGAAAATAGAACAAACGTTCTGGCTGATCTCTCATTTTCTTGAAATAATGGTACACATCTGACAAATTCTGCCAGTGAACTGACAGCGCAACTGTAGAGAGGTGGACAACCATTCATATTCACATTCAGAAGATGCTGACTCTTCAGCAAATCAAAACATGCATGTTTTTGGGCTGTAGGAGGAAGGTAGAGTCGTGCTCAGAAGTAAACGGCAAAAGCACAGGAAGGGTATGCACGCTCCCCACAGAAAACCCTTCGATTCAAACCCATTCCTTTATGCAATTGGGCAGGAAAGCAAAGAAATTGAATTTATAAGTAAATATTTATTAACCATTCAACGTAAAATTCAATGTTTTGTAAATCTGACACAGCACAGAGAGAGTTTTGTTAACAACACTGGCCAAATTTGATTGATTAAAACAATCACCAAGACTGAAAAATAAGGCTTCAAAATAGTAAAAATAAATAAATAAGTAATAACCAAAAAACAAATATCTAATGCCATGGCCGTATCATCATGTGTGTGTCTACCTGACATGGTTGAGCCAGCAAAATATATTCCCTTCAAGCCACTGG